AAGTTTAGTCTGTTAAAATGAGACTCAGATGTGCGTTGGACAGCTCTGACAATATTTACTAGTCCCAGAGGATGAATACTGATCTTAGATGATCCCATGACTTTTCCACGAGCATCTCTCAAGGTTAGTATTTGTGATTTCAAGTGAAGTATCTCAGCAGTTCTTGGATGGAAAATCGGTACAAATGTTAGCGTCTCCTTCAGGATGAGCATCTAATAACTATGGTGATCCTGTCTGCATGGTCATTTTCAGTTATACAAACAAAGGCATCACCTTTAGGGCTTTGATTGTCTTCCTGTGGAGGGTTAGGGCTAGTTCCTTTCTGCATTTCTATACTCATGAACATCCTTCCTGCCTACATTTTCCCCTAATCCCCCTTAGTCAGTCGTGGTAGATGGCTGGTTCACCCAGAGGTTTCTTCCTTTCTTCCATTTGGTTTTGTGGGGGGGCTTTCATCTAAAAAAGTAAAGCTTTGTGCTGTATACATAAAAATTGAACTGAACACTGTCCTTTTGTTTTTGTTTGTTTGTTTTTTCTACTTATAATTGCATTTCTGATGCACAAGTACAGAAGTGGCCGTTAACAGGCCGGTGCCGTCCAGATGATGTCTGCTAGTGCACTTATTTGTACAAACAAGTGGGGGCGGGGGGGAGACCGCAGGAGGCCTGTGACGGGCAGCAGTCTCAAGCCAGACGCCAAGCTAAATCAAATAAGGAGACGTCATCATCCAAGTATTCACATCTGACTTCATTTCCAAAGCAACCCTGGGAAAAGTGCGGGGAGGAGACAAGCAGCTCCCGCAGGATCTGATCTACGTTAAAAGTGTTTGCAAAGACAATCCTTCAGTGGGCTTCAAAGCAATCAAAAGAAATCTGACAGTTATTGCAACAAATTCTCTCCAGTTTGATGAGCGTGAGGTCACGTCCGATCATCAGGAAACAGGGAGTGTAGCTGCGTAATGATGATGATCATGATGAGTGAAACAAGATTATCCAGGCCTCCAGTGTAATGTTCTGTGAATGTGATCTGTGACCTTTAATTATGCTGGTATTCAGTGAGTCACATTAGAGCAAAAAAAAACAACAAAAAACACTGAAGGCTGTATCTGACTGGAAAGAGCATATTTTTAAAATGACTCCAAAATAAAAAGTGATGGAGGGGGAGGGGGGCGTTCATGTTTGGGCTTGAGACAGCTTGTGATTGTGACTAACTGTAAATTCTCCCTTCACGTATGACTCATGATTGTTGTGCTTTTAAAAGAAGCATCTGTAGAAAAACGTGTCAAGACAAAGACCAGAGGTGGGAAATCAGCTTCTAGACGAGCTTTACGTTGTTAGCTTATTCCCAATCTGCTCCCTCGAGGTGTCTGCGGGACAGAACAGCGATGCTTAGAAAAAAAATGCACCGCTTCATCGGGATCTTTAAGGTTAAAACACAATAGTAGCTCCGTGCCCAATCAAGCTGATGTTTTCCAGTCGTGCAACATTTGAATCCACAGTCTGGCCCGTCGCCTCCCTTCCATTTCCACTTCCAAACCCCATAAAAGGTCATTGTGATTTTAAGGCTGTAACAGCTCCTATCAGAGGGATTAGTTAAGGGATCATTAAGGAAATGTATGACGAGAGTGGTTCAACCTTGCTGCTGGTGTTTTTCAAGGAAACCTGCCAGTTCTTAGAGCTGCTTTTTCTTACTGAAGGTCCAGGCTGACAAGCTGGAGATGTGCTGTAAATGTAAACTGTGCAGCGGTGTAGCAGACATCCAGAAGCCATACTGAAACACTGTCAGCTGTGTTATGAAGTGCATTATATTTCATGTAGATAGGGTTAGAGTGAGACCACTGCACAGATGCGACATTGGTGGAACACCCTGAAAACATTGAGATTGCAATATATAATGTACGCTTTCCACCTCGCAAGTATTCTTTAAAGCCACCGCGGGTCTGTCTCAGCACTCATACCTGGCAGTATTAACAAGCAGTCAAATTTCTCCTGCGAGACATTTTTACACTAACTGTGCCTCCAAGGATTTTAGAGGTTTATGGAGCTCACTGGGACAGGCTTCATTAATAAGGACATATCGTCACTCTTTCACACAAAGACTGTGGGCACAGCCAGGCTCCAGTGACACTTTCAATCAGTTGACATTAAAATCACACATTCAGGAGTGGAGAGAGGAGTTCCTGGAGTTAGTGGAGCGTTAAAGTGGAGCTGTGTAGAGTCTACTGCGTGTAAGAGGAAAAAGTTTTAATGGCTTCTGTCAGGTATATTTTTAAGTAATGATCCTGTTTCTAAATTAAAAGAAATGTTATTGCTGCTGAGTGCGAACAAATCAATTAAGGTCTAAAGAGATTTTATTATTATTACGTGTCCTTGGCCCAGACTCTGAACTTGGTAGCTAGCGGTCTTCTGCTGTCGGTGCGCTGCTGCCACCAGCTGTCAGTCAGTGACATAGTGTAGAACCAGTAGCACGGCTGCAGTTAGCGGTACACGCTGATTGGCTGTCGCCTTACAGTGAAATGCATTGGGAAACCTCATGTCCTTGGGTTCATATGCATCGTTACTTAGAAACATACCTAAATGCTTTTGAGGGGCATCTGCAGAATGAAGTGGAACACACCTGAGCTACCTGCCCTGTAACCCCCCTGATCCCAAAGGAGCTACTGCCAACGTCCTTTAAAATTAAATAAAAATGATCAGGAAAACCTCAAGTCCTGGTCCAAACTAAGTTAGTTTCTCCCCATGACATTTCCCACGAGCCCTCCTGCTTCCTGCTGTCCCCTCGTTGTCCTCTGGTGCTGGTGAGTGCGCCGCGTTGTCAGTGATTTTGCTTTTTCATCGACCTTTCAGCCTTGCAGCTTAAAAACATGAATGCAGCCACTAGCGTGTGAGTACGAAGATTAAAGCTCACTCCTCTTAACTTAAATACATTCAAGACACTGTAGGATTTTTCTTCTCTTTGGTGTACCTGCAAAAAAGTGGATGTGCAAGTCTCTTTCTTAATGCTGCCCATTGCAACGACTGTCGATCATGGCAGCTTAAAGAAACAAAGTCACGCAGCAGACAGACATACAGGACAGGAAGTGCAGAAAGATTATGTAACCAACTATATTCAGTTAAAACTGAGCAGAGAGCATGCACAGAAAACTACACACTCCCTACTGCACATGCAACAGATTGGATTCTCTGCAGTGTTTATCTTTGTTTTCTCTTCAAAATTAGTTTTTCTTTTCTTTGCTATCAAGAACCAACCAATTAAACTTTTAGAAAAAGGAAAGAAAAACATTTTTTTTACCTTTAATCACGAACGCCTCAGCCAGCAGGCGGAGGTGGTAGGTCGGCTGGTCATCCTGCGTCAGCTCCTCCAGCCCCACCCTGGCACACATTCCCTGGGCGTCCCGGTAGCGTCCCTGCACGTAGTGCACTTTGGCCATCAGCAGCAGAGCCTCGTTCAAGTACCGGGGCTGCAGGACAGCAATATAAAGAAATGCTGAATAGGAAGAAGCCACGGAAAAGGATGGAATTTATAGAAGCTGTCAGTGCTCTGTTTGATTAAGGGCTTTGTTTGATTAAATGAAGGAAGTCATTTTTTAAAAAGCAGAGCAAAGTCTAAAACTCAGATATCAGAAGTAAGTTAAATGAGACTAACTGTTAGACAGCCTCGGCTAAGGATGGTATTAAGGTGTCTTTTGGCCTTGCACAGTTTGGGCTGGGTTTTGTCCACCAAAGGTTTGGACCTGAGTAGCAGATCCATGTTTTCCAGCAGGCACTCCTCCAGCAGCGCCTCGGCCATCAGCAGCGTCCCGTAATCATCTAAAGGAGGGGGGGGGGCGGCATTGAAAAAGTTCACAGTGAGCGGAGTATGCTGAAGGTCTGAGCTAAAGGTCACAGGTCATTTGTTTCTGTAGCCAAGGTCACAGGTCATTTGTTTCTGTAGCCAAAGCAAACCTCCCTCGGTCCACTCAAAACAGCAATTCCCAGGGAGAGCAGTTCAAACATGCCTGAGTCCTTAAGTCTGTTTAGAAACTACAGTTTCCATTTCTCCTAATATTTTTCCTAAAGAACTTTAATCTCGGTATCAGCAGATAAACACTCCCATCCACCTACAGCGAATTAAAGTTTACATGTGTAGTAAAACAACCCGCTTCAGATGGAGCCTTGCACTCAGTTACAGTCCAGTAGTAAACCTCAGTGTCTGTGTACACACACACACACTCGATTAAAGCTTTCCTGTTTGACTTTTTCACTGTGCGTTTGTGTGTTTACCACTGCCAGCTCTGCGCGCAGTGTTTATGCCCTGATATACTTGACATATTTGCAAGTTTGGTTTATCAGCACAGTCAAGGCTGAAGTTATCTGCGAGGGGAAGGTGGGGGCTAAACACCAGGACGTGTCTCAGCCCGTGGCCACATTAGGAGCAATGTAATAACTGCACCGTCAAGTTGGAGCCTAGACTTTGGCAAGAATCGGTGTTGTAAGGACTGAGATAAAAAACAAAAACATTCTGGTTTCACTTCAAGACTTATCAAGTAGAAAGATCAAATTTACTCTGGAGTTTGCTCACACTCAGTTCTGTGGAATATCATCATTGCTCTGATTATCTGATTTTCTCTACTTTCATTTTAGGAGCAGCCTTATCATTTCCTACTAATCACCTCCCCTTTAGTCAACAATTTCCTTGGATTTCAATAAACATTTGAACCTCCTGTGAATAGGATCAAAGCGTTTCTTGCTATTACTGATGAGCTTTTCTTTGTTTGAAGCGTAAGTAATAATGCTGGTTTCAATATTTTCATAGTAGCACATGGATCTCTTTATGAAAGAGGTCACTCATAGTGATAAACACAAAGAAAGTTTGCTTTTTTAGTTCTAATTCCCAGATGTTTTCAACCCATTGCTCGTTCTTTTATGAAAAACTCACAGGATTGATTTGGCCTCTTCTCTTCCTACTTTGTCCCTGTCAGACATCTCCCTCTGGGAGCCAGCATTCATTCTTGTTTTTATTTTATTTTTTTTGCTTTAAAAAAAGAAAAAAAAAAGAAGCTCATTCAAGATTGTTTGAAACATTGAAGTTGCTCTAAATATATTTTCAAACTAAATTACTTTTTTTTTATTGTGTTTTAGTAACCTGTTTCTTTAATTTTAAAGTGGAGGTAGTTGCAAATTATCAAACACTACTGGTTAGCTAATGGTTAGCCCTATAGCTAGATATGCTAATATATGAAGATTATAAACTCAGG